ACGTTTATGGATTGTGAATGAAAAATCATCGGAAAACATTTTTTAAAAAGTTATTGTTCTCATTCGATTTCTCCATCATAGTTTCACAAAATTCCCTACGTTTAAAATACTCATCGGGAAAAATTTCTTGGGTGGTTTGCTTTTTATAGCAATTGTATCTATTTCTGTTTAAAATATTCCTTAGAATTCTCTCCTTTAGGTCAACTGCATCCGCAATTTGTCTACTCCAACAAGGCAGTTCTTCAGCAGTTAAATAAACTTGCATTTTGCGAACTTCACGTTCAACAGAGATTTGTTTCGATCGTGGTTGATCCGTTGGACGACATTTCATACAGGTATTTATGCAACCGAAATTTTCAAAGTTTTTAATAATTGGCCGTACTGTTTTCTCTGTCGGAATTGGACGATTTTCAAAAGCAGCAATAAATAACTGTATTATTTCTACAATAATACCAGTATAATACCATTTCACCATTTGAATCTTTTCTTCTCGAAAATATACGCACGACATGTCAATTATTTGTTTTCAAACTTTTACCACCACAGCTAAAAATCAAATAGATAGACCTTATCGACGTGTTATTGACCTTAAACCTGCTGTACAGATAAACACCGCCTATTCTTTTGAGGAGAAATTATACACTCGTAGAGAGGGAAAACCGTTTATACTATTTTTCGGTCTATTAGAATAGAAATATGCTTTATTGTCACTGAAAATTATTGAACAATTTTATGAACAAATCAGTCAAATAGTACAAAAAGTATAAAACAAAAAACTATAAAAAAAAAACAGAACAATACAATTTTAAATTAGTAAAATTATTGTATAACTTACATAATTTGTACAGACAACAACAAATGAAACAAATTGTAGCCACTGCTTGAGACACCCAAATGTAATTATAAACAATACTAATTTTGTTACTTTGTTATACATTAAGAAACTCGTCAACTGAATAATACTGTCTTTCAAACAGGTAGATTTTTGTCATCTTACGAAACTTAATGAAATATGTTGCGGATTTAATTTCTCTTGGAAGGTGATTATATAGTTTTTTTGCACTATATAGAATAGAATTATTTACTAGCTGAGTGGACGGGATCGGCAAATAAACGATCCCGAATAGAAATCCGAATTTCTAATGGAGTAGCCATGATCAGGTCTATCGGGAAAAATGTTTAGATGCTTGCGAATCAAACAAACCGTTTCCAAAATAAATAAAGAGGGAAGCGTCAAAATTCCGTGATTTTTGAAGTAGGTCTTACAATGAGTTGTTTGTTTGAGACCAAATAGATAACGAGTTGCTCTTGTTTGCAACTTAAAAATAGTATCAAATTGGGCCGCTGTACTAGAACCCCAAAATGGAAGCGCATATCGAAGACGGGACTCGAACAATGAGAAATATGCCATTTTGACAGAAGATAAATTTAGTTCCTTCGAAACATATCTTATTGCAAAGCAAGCTGAGGCTAGTTTCTTCCTTAAGGAGTCAGTATGTAAGGACCATTTAAGATCACTGTCGATAAGAATACCTATAAATTTTACGGAATTAACGATACTGATTTGGCTCTCATTCAAAAGCAATGGTTGAATGACTCCTTTATAAGATAATGCTATTGTCTTATCCACGTAAAAGCTAAGTAAGTTGGAGTCTGACCAAGTCTTGATTATCAGCAAATCAGCGGTTATAATTGAATGAAGCGTTGAAATATTAGAGCTGCTCCAAGTAATACTGGTATCATCAGCAAATAGAAAAATGTTCCCTTTAATTTTCAAGTAAGTGATGTCATTAATGAAAAGTAAAAAAAGAATGGGACCTAATACTGAACCTTGCGGTACTCCACACTCAATATCTTTACAACTAAAGTCGGTGTCTTTTATTCTAACCAATTGTTTCCTACCTACCAAGTAAGTTTTGAACCAATTCAAAGACACGCCCCGAATTCCATAGAAAGTTAATTTTTTAATAGAATGTCGTGATTTACGCAGTCAAAGGCTTTGGAATAGTCGCAGAAAACGGTAGCGGAGGAGAGGTTACTATTTAGAGATAGTTATACCACATGTAACACAGAAAACATGACATCATTAGTACATTTATTAGACAAAAAGCCGAACTGATTTTGCAATAAAATATTGTGTTTAAGGAGAAAGGGCATAAGTCGAACTTTTATAAGCCTTTCAATAATTTTTGATAGTGCTGGTAACAAGGCAATAGGTCTACAGTTGCAGGCATCAGATTTTTCTCCACCTTTATGAAGGGGAATAACGATGGCAGTCTTTAGGCAGTTAGGGAATGTACCTTTTTCAAGGGGATCATTTACTAGCGAGACCATGACCTCCAAAACATTATGCGGAAGATTTGAGAAAATTTTAATAGATAATCCATCTGTACTACAGGACGATTTGCTTTTTATACTACGAATTGTTCGAATGAGTTCAGTCTTATCAACTGGTCTTAAAAAGAAGGTATCAGCAATGTTTTTTGAATTAGGGAGATAGGAAACTGGATCTTGTTGGCGAAATAGTTGAGATTATATTTTTACTCACATTAACAAAGTAATCATTTAGATTTTCGGGGTTAGGAAAAGAAAAGGTTTGATTCGCTGCACTGGTTTTATTTCGAAAATCGTTTATTATTGACCAAGTTTCTTTTGAAATATTTTTGGAGCTTGTTAGGCGATTATAAAAGTTGGATATTTTGGCTACTTTGAGTAGTTTTAGATAGCATTTTCTGTACTTATTGATATAATCAGAGATGGGGATACTGTCATTAATTTTTTTAATATATAGCAGAGAACGCATACTCTTCGCAGACATGCGAATGCTTTTGGTAATCCAATGTTTGTAATGTTTTGGCCTGATGTTTAATAGAGGAAATGCTTTATTAAAAATAGATACAAGTCTATTTAGAAAATCACTAACATTATAGTCAATTCCCCAGAAGATAAACTCCAGTCAGAAGTCAAGCATGAATTATAGAATTTACGAAAGTTTTGAGTGGAAAAAAATCCTACCTAATCGTTGGGTTTTTGAGTGGGGTGTTTTTAAACTGCTAAACTTGGTATATACCGCTTCATGGTCAGAAAGCCCCCTATTAATAACTGTAGAATGGACGTCAGTGGGTGGAAAATCAGAAACCATATAATCAATTGTCGAGGATGATGTTTTTGAGATTCTTGTTGGAGAATTATCGTGCATTGTGAGACCATATCATTAAAAAATAGTTACCAAAGACAGTTGGGTCGCACAAACAGCAGCGTAGTCAATATTAAAATCACCACAAATTTTTTCTGCTTTGTATCAGAGCTAGGTGATCTAAAAATGCAAATAATGTATAGGTTAAATTTCTTATTATAAATCAAAGAAAATTCGAAGTAGTTTTCACGCAGCAAATAGTCATATTTCTAAACTAAAGAAAAATCATTGTTATTAGAAAGATTCAGAGTGCCACCATGAGCTGAACTTGGACGATCATACCTAGCATATTCTTGACTGAAAATTGGCTCATTAACTTCAAGCCAGTGCTCCGTCACTGCAACTAACTGGGGAAACCCTAATTCTTCCAGAAACAAAAATAACTCGTCTGTCTTATTTCTATAAGACACACGAGTCTAGTATAGTGTATATAGAGTATATTGAAGTGCCATGATACTATGACTATAAGATAAGATATTGCGCATGTTTTTGTGACGTCATTGGAGACTTGCACGTTCGAAATGTCAGTTTTTGTATATATCAATAAATAATCTTTAATAAATAGTTTGGAGATATCCTTATGTGTACAATTATTGTAATTATTAAACCTCTTAACTTATTTTCGTCTAGTAATTTCATCACAGACTGCATACAAATCTCATTTAACTTTAACAAGAATTCAAATTCTAGTCTCCAATGACGGCATGCGCGAACCCGACCGATTTTAAGCTACGGGAAGATCCTATCTTGTTATTCATAGTATCATGTTGAAGTGCGTTCTTTATTTAGCTCACGCTGTTGCCGCATATAAATGTCTCAATTCAGTGTTCTTTGCTAATTAATCAAGTAATAACAGTTACATGATTACTTCATGTAAGTTTTGTTGGGGCAATATTAATTTTCATTGTACAATGAACTGTAGTGGATTTAAATATTATGTTACACTATCCCACAAATATTTTAGTATATTATTTATATATATATATATATATATATATATATATATATAGCTGCTGACAGAAGTGACTACTTCTTATAGCGCGTTATTGCTATATCTGAGTTAATGAAATTTTACGTCTGCTTATTACTGAACTCTCAATATTTTTTTATTATAATACAACACATTTAAGTTCTTTAAAATTTAAAAAATCTTAATTTTTTTCTTTAAAAATTTTGTTTAATGATTTTAGAAATTATTTAAATTTGTTTTATATTATGTAGAATTTATTCATCATTTACATTTTCAGTATTATCTTGTAGTTATTTTTAATACCTTCATTTTGATTATCATTACATTTAATTTTATTTTATTTTGTTTAATTTTATTTAGTTTTAATTAATTGTATTTAATTTAATTTTTTTAATTTATTTAGGATTAGTTACTTTTAGTTAATTTTATTTGATTTTAATTAATTTTATTTAATGTTACTTAATTTTAATGAATTTTTGTTTAAATTTACTTAATTTTGTTTAATTTTTATTTAATTTTAATTTTATTTTATTTTATTTTAATAATATTAAAATAATATTACGTTTTCAGAATTTCATAATTCTCTAAATTTTCCAGTATTCGCTGTGCAAAAATAACGTCAGATTGGATACAGTACAAGATCAGTACAAACGATTTATAGGGACTGCCCAATAGACAATACACAATTCTCTTTAAATTAAGGGTATTATATTAGATTTCTGTGTATTATATTTTCACATACATTGCAAATCTCCGAGGTTATGATTCTTTAAACAATGTTGATGTTAAGTATAGTAACAACGTGTGGTTATGGAATAAAATTAAAGTACAAACCTTCAAGAGCCAGGGAAAATGCTAGCTGGTGCGACGCTTTTCTACCTTTCATATGCGGACAATCTCGTCCCACTTGTAACGCTCTAATATCACAGACTGCAATCTTAGATTGTAGTTCTTCAGTAGATGGAGCGCTCTTTTCATCACAGTCTCCATAATGAAGAACCTTGTGGTTAGGAGACAAGCGCATATACCAGAATTTGTCTTTAATTCGTTGACCACGAGGAGAGTATTTTGTAAATCTTGTACCTAAAAAACATTTGATATAAAAGCTTTTCAGCCCAAAAAAATTTGAGAAAACCACTTAAAAAATAAAAATTATTGTAAGAGATGTAGCCAAAAACGTATAGGAAAAATACTGACTGATATTGATATACAAGTTTTATTTGTCAAAAATCTATTGAACTGAAATTTACCTTCAACTAAAAACGCCAATCTTTGCTGCTTGATTAATCCCATTATTTCTGGAGTAATTTGTTCTCTTAGTTCTACCACTGGTCGGGCATGAGATTCCCATTCCTCTCTAGTATTACGTTCCAGCTGCCATAACTGAGTAATCTCGTTATAAGTTAGAGTGTGCAACTTGCTCTTGAACTGATCTAAAGATGCAGGAGTTGTTTCCAGAGCACGTACGATTTGTTCTTGACCCACACTGGCGACTTTTTGAAAATCTTCTGCAGTAGCTCGCATCTCTTTCCAAGTTTTGTTAAGAAGAACGATGCAGATACAAAAACATTCTTCGAATGGATGGTCGTGGGTGAAGAATAATGGTTGGTAAGTCACACACTGTTCTGAAGGGGGTTCTCCTAAAAATAAATATAAATAAAATTTAGACACGAAATAAATAAATAATTCTGCAATAGCCTACAAATTCAGAGGAAAAAAAAGCACTAGCGTGAAGCTTTATACTGTTTTCTTTATTTTTAAAATTTAAATAATATTTTTAAAATTCAATAAAGGAAGTGTATTATTTATTTATTATTATTTATATTTTAAACAAATTTTATTATATTCAAATAATTAAATGAATTATTATGTTTGCTCCTAACGACACCTGTTGACGTAAAAGCATACGTTGTTTACTTACAACAGACCTGTCAAATTCAAACAAAATATTAAATTATATTAAAATATCAATATCATTTGATTGTAAATTTAATTATTATATAAACTAAACAATATGTTTAAAAATAATAATTGTATTTATATGGAATTATTTTAAACGAGAAGTGTATTAAAAACAGATGACATTTTTTTTTAAATTTTGAATCGTTGCGAATCTAATCTTTTATTGCCAAATATTGTTTTATTTTTTACTTCTCATTTAATGTCTTTATTTTGTTAGTTATTGTTCATGCAGTTTTTAATTTAAACATGCTTAGAATAAAAATATATGATGACTAAAGACGAATTGATTAAGAGTCGTGAATCGATGTGAAGAACCACTATTTTATGACGCTACCCGTAACGACGCCATCTTGTGGCGCTAGCTCCGTGACGACGCCATCTTGTGGCGCTGATTCCGTGACGACGCCATCTTGTGGCGCTGATTCCGTGACGTTCGCCTCAGAACTTTATTATAGAGAAAAAGTAGTACAGCGCCAGTCTCGAAGTTTCGCTTAAAAAAATAGTGATGTGGTTCCAACGGTTTGGAATAGAGAGAAAAGAGTTCGTCCAAAAAACTGTCGAGAGTCACTGTCAAAGGCTTATATTAAAGTAATATTAAATAAAAATATTGAGAAATCATACGGTTCTTCTGAATAAATCATATGGTTTTTCTGAATAATTCAATGGTTTCGGCAATTGTTAAAAGTAAAGAGAAGACAAGGAACGAATTAAAAGACATATTTATTAAGGCTTCTTTTGCAAGTATTACTATTGAGAAATTAAAAAAATTCTCAATAACATGAAAACAGATGTTGAGATTCCTTAACAAATATTAAGGTATTACTTACTAATTGTAGAATAGTCTTCTTCTTATTCAATTAAAAAGAAATAAGAACTTACTTCAGTAACTACTTGAAAATAACAGAGATTACTTTTTTGCTCCAAGTAAACTCTTTTAAATAAAGTAGTTACTGTTCTTTTATTCAATTACTGTTGTAAATACTTACAATATCAGGAAGTAAAAGCAAATACTTCTTTTTATTTAATAGACCCAGTAACACAAGATTTACTACACTTACTAAATGCCATAACAATTTTAGGTTCTTGTACAAAATAAATAATTGAAAATCTTTGACAAATAACTTTTATAGCACTGTAATGACTAGATGTAGTACTTCAACATGGAGAAAGCAAAGATGCAGACTTGTTTGAGCTTTATGAATGAGGGACTACAACTTTTTGTGTATAATATACCATATTATATTCAAATCGCCTACCATCTGATTCAATACATTATTAAAAATGAATTGCAAGACATTTATCCTAATGTTTATATTGTTATAGCAGAGAGTTAGCCTCTAAAATAAATTCCAAATCCTTAATAGGGGATTTTAGCAAAGTTAACAGCCAAAGGGCATATTAAGGGGCGGAAAGATAGATGTCTCTAAAGAAAAGTTGATCAACTATCAAACTGATGGTAGAAGAACGTGTCATAAAGCGTTTGTGTCGATACAGTAGATTCAGGTATATTGAATATGTTACCTCAATTGTCCAATGGGTTAGTAATTACTTCGCTTGTGAAGTTTAGTGAGTTCGTGTTGTAACAACTTCTTTTCCTGTAGACCTCAGAAGATATCTTTAGTGTAAGAAAATCTTAAGAGAGGTTAAATAAAGATAAAAGAGTAGTGAATTAGATGTGTAGACTGCTTTATAAACAAGGAAGAGACCTCGAACAAGAAATCATGAAGCAATACAACAACAAAGCTTATTCGAAATAATTGCAGTAAATACGGAAGGACTGTTTCTGAAAATCTAAAGACAAAGATTAGGAAATATTCGAAAGTTAAAACAAATTACAGATCGAGAGCCATCTAAGAAGACTCAATAGAATCTGAAAACTAGCAAACTTACTTTTGTGGAAGAGAAAAAACCTTTGTTATACAACCCTAACAGACATATAGGAAGATCCCGATACTACAGAATAAGAAGAAGGTCTCTATAGGGTAATTAACAAAATCAAGATTGTGGTTTGTAAGGTCCAGAATACACCAAACTACAAAATGAAGGTAGTTAATCTTGAACTTTGAGCTTTTTGACTTGAAAAAGAAGGTTGGTTAAATGTTACTTAAAAAGTGACTTGTTTTGTTCGTTTTAAATATTTCGAAAAAAAAATCATACAGTGTATTTCTTTAGATAGTTCTTTAGAAATGTAAACAAATTTCAAATAATTTTAACAGCCTGTATATTATAATTCAATTTAGATTTTCTACATAACAAAAATGCATTAATAGAATGCAAATAACAAACCTTTTCTAAATAAAAAAGTAAAATTATACCTTAAAAATTGGCAATAAATTTCTTAAATTTATTTGTAAACACTAATGTTTTCTTATTTAAACTTTGGCACACATCATTTAAAAACACCCATTAGTGTATAAACTAAATAAGTCGATACTAAAACAGGTAGAAATTAAAGCAATGAAACATATTCACTTTTTTATTCTTAGTTCTGTCGTCAAACATGAATTATAAATACATACGCTACAAAATCTGGTTTCACTACAACACGCCTTAAAAAGGAAGATTGTTTACATATGCATTGTTACATACGATAATGTGTAAAAAAGAATTAGATGATTATTGACACCAGTCTGAAGATAGTTTAAACAAATATTTAGAATAGAAATTATTGTGTAATGTGTAAAAATATTAATTCGGTAATAAGGTAACTAAGGTATACCTTATTAAGGTATACGGTTTTAATACAGGTATAAGTATTTTGGCTTTATTTATAAACAAGACATTTTAAACTTCGCCTTCGGTAAGTGTTGGGTGGATTGAGTAGCTCTGTAAATGCCGGTGCCGGTCCCAAGCCCGGATAAAGGAGGAAGGTTGAGGAGATGGGCTAGCAACTCATCCCTTGTCAAAACAAATAAATGCTAAAAATTTCGACCAAAAGCCTCGGAATACAAAGGATGAATCAAAACAAAGACGACTAACGCAAAGGAAAAGGAAAATGATATTGGCTACATGGAATGTACAAGGACTTAGATCCAAACAAGCAGAAGTATTCAAATAATTAGCGGAAATAAAAATAGATATATGTATTCTCACCGAGACCAAGAAAAAGGAAAAGGAAATGAAGAGATATATACATATCTACAGTGGAGTGAGTAAAAATAACAGAGCTAAGAGAGGAGTATCTATTGCCATTCGAAAAAATCTTAAAAACAATATTAAATCGTGGACTGAAGTAAATGAATAACTGCTAATACTGGAAATGAAAAAGAATGGGCACAACATCGTAATTGTCGGAGTGTATGCCCCAAATGAAGATGCAGATCCAGAAAGTAAAGACGATTTCTACAACAAGATGAATGAAATCCTCTCTGAAATTAAAGAAAACTGTGAAATCTTTACACTAGGAGATTTAAACGGCAGAGTAGGGAGAGAAGAAAATATCAGAGTCGTAGGAAGATATGGGGAACAAATAACCAATGACAACGGAGTGCGTCTTAGAGATTTTTGTGAAACAATGTCTCTCAAAAGTGTAGTGTAATGTAGTAGTGCAGTGATCAGTGAACAGTGTAGTAGTGTCTGGGGGCTCGGGAGACTGAGACCTCGGAAGCCCTGATGAAGGCATCAGAGAGAAGGCCGAAAGCTTGGCAAAATGGATATCCACGCGGTTGAACCCGGAAGACTGGTGAGTTTGATATTAATTTTTGTAATAATATTAATCTTAGCTCTAGGTTTCATTGTACTAATCGCGGAAATCTTTCCGAACACACACTGAACACTGAATACTAGTATGTTTAATAATTTTTAAAAGAAATTTTTTTTTATTATTTACAAATTCGCATCAACCCGAAGGTTATTAGCGAGAATCAGATTTACAATATTAAATATATTATATATTAACAAAATTAATAGCTTTTAAGTAGTTTAACATATTTGTGAATGAACAATTTGCACCAAGTGCTTTCTCTAAGTTTATTGAGATACCATAAATAATTCTTGCTGTGGAGAAAACTGGACAGTCTAAAACAACATGTTTCACCGAGAGTTTAACGTTACACTGCTCACATTTTGGTTCGGATTCTTTAGTAATTAAGAACTTGTGCGTGGCACTGGTATGACCTAATCTAAGACAAGTTATTGTCACTTGATCCCTTCTTTCAGTGGGGAAATATCTCCATGGTTTAATGTACGGTTTAATATTCCGAAGATTGGACACTGAAAATTCCCACCGGTTTTGCCACTCACTTAGGATCCGCGATTTGATAACACTTGAAACATCACTAGCTATCACATATTTCAAAATAATAGAGTCAGCTGAGTTGACGGCTTCACGCGTACACTTATCTGCTTCTTCATTGCCTCTAATACCAATATGTGATGGGATCCAAATAAAGATTACCTCCTTATTACAATTTTCTATCTCTATCAGATTTTGTTTTACTTTTTCAAGAATATGATTCTCTGGGTATATTCTTCCTGTAGATTGTAGTGAGTTTAGTGAATCAGTCAAAATTATATATTTCTGATTTGGTTAGGATACAATATATGTGAGTGCCTCGTATATGGCATAATTCTGCATTAAAAGTACTGTAGTGTATTGGCAACTTATATTTTTGACACATATTAGAGGATATAACTGCTGCTCCCACGCCATCTGTTGATTTTGAAGCATCTGTATAAATTTGAGAGAAATTTGTATATTTTGGTAATAAGTTTTGCAGATTTTGATGTATTATACTACGGTTAGTAGTGTGCTTGTCCAATGATGTTAGGAGTTAAGTTTTGCAGATTTTGATGTATTATACTATGGTTAGTAGTGTGCTTGTCCAATGATGTTAGAGTAGTTATTATTTTAGGTACTCCCAAAGTCCATGGTGCAGCAGGTTCAAAACTAACGGGAAAGCAAGGAGGTAAGGTGATGTTCAGAGATGACAGATCCATTTTGATTCGGTGGTGGAAAGGTTTATGTAGACGTGGTTTATTGGAGAAAAATGTTGATAATCGGTTAAGGTGATCATATTTGAAGTGTGGTTGTTAGGATTTGCATTTAATTTAATTGCATAGGTTAACTTTAAGTACATTCTTCTGTGATATAGTGATGGTTCAGCTGCTTCACAATACAGGCTTTCTATTGGTGTGGTTCTGTAAGCTCCCAAGACAATGCGGAGTGCAGTATTGTGTATTGAATCTAAAATTTTAAGGGAAGACTCAGTAGCCGATGAATATGCTATCGCGCCATAGTCTAATTTAGATCTGATTAGAGTTCTGTAGAGAGAGAGCATAGTTTGTCTATCTGCTCCCCAGTCTTTTTTAGATAGTGATTTAAGGATATTAAGTCTTGCTTGGCATTTGATTGCCAATTTTTTAATATGTTCTTTCCAATTTAGATGTCATTCCTAAAAATTTTACATTATTTGATCGAACTAGAGGCTTGTTATATAGTGAAAGTGGAGTAGCTTTTCTTTGTGAATAATATAAATTGTTGATCGTATTTTAATATTTTCAAAATTGTAGTACATTTACATAAGTTTATTAAAATAAATGAATAAAATAAAAAAATATTCTTACCTATTTTTAAAATCTCGCATAAAATCCTGACTAATTCCACACTAGCTCTTCCAAAAGGACATTCGTGTTCGTCGGCCCTGCAACTATTTTCTAACACCAATTTTGTGTAATTTTCTGGATGAGTCCTAGCAAAATAGATCATACAGTCGAGAGCTAGAAGACCTGGAGGTGTTTCAGTGAAATCCAAGGCAGGATTGATATCGTTTTTGAAACCTAATTTTTTGTAGTCACGTGTGAAACCACTTGGACCTCTTAGACTTGTTGCTCCTTCGGTTTCAAAAGCTATTCGACGCAGTTCTTTGATTTTGTCATGCCCATCTTGATCCTGAATAAAACATTTTATAGAAAAACAAAAGTTAGTAGGTTGCAATGACAAGAATCAGATACAATATATACTATCTTCTGATTTGGATTATATCATTAGAAAGGACTATTCAACGTTTCGTTCCGTTTATATTATAAGTAGTTTTTACTAAAAATATTACTCCAATTGTTAATAATAACTCATGTCTCAATACATCCTGAAGCGACAAAAACAGTTGTTAATAAATAAGTCTTATACAAGGCCAAGACATCTTACCATGTCAGATAAACTTATTTGTTTTTGGCTGTCTCCTTCTCTTAAAACTTTTAGTAAGGTAGATATTCTAACATAATACTTATATACCTTGGTATTGTGACGTTGTGATGTAAAATTTAGGCTGTATCTTTTTGATCGATGTAAAATTGAAAATGTTGTGATCCATCATTTTACATAATAAGTAGACTTCGTATTTAAAGTCCGTCTCTGTACTAAATGAATCCCGGAAATAAGAAAACCAATTGCAATGAAGAGCCATTGGTCTGAGGGAACCACAGACCAGACTATTTAGTATTTATAAATTCGCATTGCAAGTTGGCTATTGCAATAACGTCTACTATAAGTTATTTTGTAGTATTTTGTGTGGTGTTTGGTGCTTTTTTGAAAAGTGTTGTCTACGGGAAGAAAGAAAAATCCCATTTGGTCATATTCTGATGTTGTTAAAGATAATAAGAAAAAATCAATGATTCATCATCATTCTTGCTTTACAACCTTGCGTGGGTCCTAGCCTCCTCAATAATTTCTATCCACTCGTCCCTATCCCTCGCCTTCCTCCGCCAAGCACGTATGTCCACATTTCTCATGTCTTCATCGATGTTATCAGGGAACCTTGTTCTAGGTCTTCCTCTTCTTTTCTGACCAATGGGTCTACCAAGGAGTGTTTTTCTAGCTGAGTCGTTTTGTTCCATCAACGTTACATGCCCTATCCACTTGAGACATCCTATCTTAATATGTTTTAGGATATCTGGTTCCTGGTATATTCTATAAAATTCGAAGTTGTATCGTTTTCTCCACACTCCATTGTAATTCACTGCTCCATAGATTCGCCTTAATACTTTTCTTTCGAAACGTCCTTACATGTTTTCATTACTTATTGTTTAAAGTCCACGTCTCTGAACCACATGTTAGGACTGAGCGTATTATTGTTTTGTATAGCTTTATTTTTGTATTTCTCGGTATAATTGTGGATTTAAGGAGGAGATTGAAATCAACATAGCATCTGTGGGTCGTGAAAATTCTGCGGTAGTATAATTTTCAGTGTTAGGAGCGCTCCCAGGTATGCAAATTTGTTCACTGCTTCGATGGCGTCGTTTTCTATAACAAGTGGTCGTAGGATTTGTGGTTGCGTGCTTATTTTCATATACTTCGTTTTGTTGGTGTTTATTATTAAACCCATTCTTGTAGCTGATTCTTTTAATGCTACATACGCCTCTCGTACAGCGTTTTCCGTTCTCCCAGCAATACTGATATCATCAGCATAGGCAAGGATTTGCACTGATTTATTTTATATTGAACCAATGGTTATGATTTGTGACATACGTATTACTTTTTTCATAGCCAGACTAAACAATATACAGGAGAGAGGGTTCCCTGGAGCAGCCCATTATTTGTTACAAGGTTCAGACAGTTCCCCTGAATTTATACTCTACATTCAACTTTTTCAAGAGTTAGTTTTAATAAATTTACAAACTGATTTGGTATTCCTAGCTCTTTCATTGCTTTTCCCTTTTATTCCCATTTAACATTTCCCTTCTAATCACAGAGTTGTAGGCTGTTTTCTAGTCTATAAATATGTGACGAGTGTATGCCATATTCCAGTGTTTTTTCTAAAACTTGTCACAGGGTTGCAATCTCAATAAATTGTCGATTTGCCACCTTTGAAACCAGACTGGTATTTTCCTAGTATCCGTTCTGCATATGGTGCCATACGGTGACATAGTAGTGTGGAAAATATTGTATATGGTGCATTTAAACGCGTAATTCCACTGTGGTTAGAGCATTCAAAAATATCTCCTTTTTTGTGTATGGTGCAAAGTATTCCAAGATTCCAATCATTGGGAAGATATTTATGTATCCATATTTCTTTTAAGAGCTGCTGTAATGCAATTATGGTATCGTGGCCACCTTCTTTATATAGTTCAGATTGGAGATTATCTATTCCGGTGATTTGTTTTTGGCTAGTTTTTTAACTACATTTTTAACTTCAAGAATCGTTGGTGGTTCCTCTTACCTCTCGTCTGTTCCCCGTACCTCATCTCTTTCGTCTTCCAGGTTTTCTTCTTCCTCTTCTATATTAAGTGCCTGGTTAACGTTAAAGTATTCCACCCATATATTCAATACATCTTTCCTTGTTGTTAATAGGTCGCCATTTTCTGCATTGACTTGTGGTTACTTTGAATTCTTTTCTGTTGATGTTAACTTTCTTATAGAATGCTCTGAATTATTTTCCGGTGTTGAGGTTTTCTATATATTTAAGTTATTTAAGTAGTTTCGTTTTTTTCTTTTGTGTATCCTCTTTTCTTCTCTTCTTTTTGTCTGGAAGCAGCTTCCAGACTGTATCATCTGTAGTCTTCATTTTTTTTCTTTTGTTAGATTCTTGCATTCATTGACAAACCAATGATTTTTACGGGCACAATTTTCTGTTCCTATTTCATCTTTGACTGCTGCTTCAATGCCTTCCTTTATTCTGGTCCAGAGTCTCTATCTGCTGGCCTTGTTCATTCACATTCTGGTTCCTTAGCCTGTTAGTGATGTTTTCCGAGTACCGTTCTGCAATTGTCGCATCTCTCAGCTTTTGTACATTCCATTTTTTTTTTTCTATTCATTTTATTATCGTTACTGGTGTTTGAAATTCTAGTTCTCAATGTTGAGATCACTAGACAATGATCTGAGTCTACGTATGCGCCTCTATAACTTCTGCAGTTTATTACGTCTGTTCACTAGAAAAGACAGAGCAACAAATACTGGAATCACAGAGTGTATGGGCATAGACATCGACATCCTGGAAACTATAGAATGTAAAACGTTGAAATGGTATGGCTAAATGGTATACTAAGCTATATACTGATGGTTTTACTAAGCGACTCTTCTTCTTGTATTGTCTATCTATTTCGGATGTTGGCGAACATCATGGCAATCTATATTTTGCAAACTGCGGCTCTGAAAAGATTTGTGGTTGTTGTGTTGAACCATGTACGTAGATTTTTCAGCCAGGAAATTATTCGCCTTCCTGGTCCTAGGTTTTCCTTCTACTTTTAATTTGAAAAATTAATTGCAGCAACCCATATCTTTCATTGTTCCTCATGATGTGACCGAGCTATTCAATTTTGGCTGTTTTTATTGTGGTTAACAACCCTTTTGATTTTTGCATTCTTAATAAAACGTCCTGGTTAGTAACGTGGTCGGTATAGAATATCTTCTAAGCGACTCTACTAAATTACTAAGCGAAATAAAATCAGTGACTGATAAATGTAAAAAATGTAAAGTTATTATGGCTGGACTAGAGCTGCGTATGAAGAAACATATTCAAAAATGTGTTCCATCTCAAAAATTCTCAGCTATCAATGTCAACTATCTATGATTCCGAGTCAGATGAGGATTTAACGCTAAATAAGATACCAAAACACAAAAACATTCAAGGGATGCTTACCTAAATAATACAGGTAACTTTGAATTTTAGATTTTTATTTAACCCCCTCTGTGGCTCAGTGGTAAGAGCGCCTACCTTTGAACCTAAAGGTCGTGAGTTCGAATCTCAGCTGGGTGGAAATTTTCGTTTATTAAGAATTAATAAATAGAAATAATTTCTATCCTTGTACGATCGGTACTCACCGGAGGGACCGCAGACGTTCGGATACAATTAGCGTCTCTTAGCAAAGACAATGACGTCGACAATTATTTTTTCGGTATTCTTCTTTAGTTTCAGAAAGTCGAACTAAAAGTTTTTAAATTCACATCCTCTATATTTATTGACTAAACCTGAAGCATGATTTAATTAAGATTCGATTAAAAAAAATTAGAATTACTGAATAAATCTTCAGAGCCTACTTTAGTGTGGGAAATGTCAGCATCAACAATCTTTGATGATACTGATAGCACCATTGACCATGTGGTAACCCCAAAATCATCTACCTCTGTCGGACAGTTTCCAATTAAAGGTGACTAATCTACAAATTGAACTAAACGGTAGCGGCAACCGTGTAAAATGTCAGTAGTAAATTCTTACAGGGGTCATTTTTATTGTGTATACTTCGCCAATGTAAATAAGCGAAAAAGTATATAGTCCTCATAACATTTTCCCCGTAACAATATAAATTGGTGCGATTCACGAGTGTGTAGTGAGACAATTTTATTGAATAGTTTAAAAACATCCGCAAACTTATCAATATTTTGCTGGTCTATATATATATATATATATATTATATATATATATATATATATTATATATATATATATATATATATATATATATTTATGTTCTTAGAAAGAAGGATAATGAGTAAAATATGATATTTTAATTTATGTTTATTCGTTCCAAATTCTTATGTGCATAGGCGTAGTGTGTTTTATTTCTTGGAATATATTTATTAAAGCGACTTTATTATTAACTTTAAAATAGTTTTGAGGTAAGTAAAGCAAATTTGCGGAAAGTTTATTCTTTATATAGTATTAACTCGTTAACGGCCGGTTAGTATACAAAGAGAAATTTGACAATTAATTTATTAGATTGGATTAAAAATACATAAATTAAGAATAATTTACAACCAAAAAGATTTTTTTTCTTATTTTCAAGGAAAACAGTAAAATTTTAATAAAGGAACATATTGCATCTTAAATGTAAATTTACACCTTTTACATAAATAAATAGTAGTACTTTTGCACATCCTACATTCTTGCAGTATTGTCCTTTTTGTAATGTGGCCAGTATTGTCGAATCTGGTTTCATCTGGTAAAGCAAATTTAGATTGACGTACATTTACTAAGCTTGACACTGATGTAGAGATTCTTCACTATTATAAATTATAAATATAAATCTATGTCGGCTCATGCTTTCTCTTATAATGGCAGTTCTTTATCCTCACCCTTTGACCAATGTATATCAACTTGAAGCAGAGTGTGAACCAGATAATATACAAATCTATGTTATTCATTTCAAAATTCTGACGGTTATTCTGCGATGCATGAATATTTGTAAAATATAGAATGCTCTCAATTACGTTTTTATCAAAAAAGAGTGAAAAAACTTCAATATATGACTTGCCTCCATGGTTGGCTTTTATATTGTCTAAATATTAATCAGACTGATGTTGAATTACTACTGAGCACAAAGCAGCACGAAGAAGTATCTGTTGTTACAACTTAAGACAAATTTGGATTTGTTTTTGACTGGTTTTTTCTTTGGACGTTTTATCTGTGGTTCAGAGGAATATCATAATCAGAATCGTCAGAATTCCCAATCACTTGTATTTCATATGTACCTGCAATATCCGATTTTATTGATTCTTCACAAATAATATCATCAATGTCTTTTACATAAGAAACTTTCTAATCTAATCTCGGTGGCAAATAAAACACTTTAAGTGAGTCAGCATTTTCACAATCTGAGTGTTCTTCTAACAAAGGTATTAACTCTTTAGTAGTTAGTGCCATCTTTATTTCATATTTCGAGAATTTACTGAAATAAACAAATGCACTACTATATACACGCATTCACATGATAATAGTTTAGCTTAATTCATTTTAATTTATATGACAGTCATTTTTTTATATAATACATAGACCTCCAATGATACCCTACCTCAATTGCAAGTCAAAATTTTAATCCTATCTAGTAGCAGCATTTAAAAGGTTAAAAACAGTTAATTAAAAAAATATATTTAAAACAAAACAACCCTGTTTTCCCAATTACTAATTAACATGTAAATGCCACCAGAGATTTTTAACTAAACCCCTGGTTGTTAGTATGGAAGTATTTATTAACACTAACAACCCTTGCCAGGATGTACATGAACAAAAGAGGTACAATAAGCCAATTGGCTGAAGTACAACCAATTATAACAACAAACAAATTCTGAAAAAAAGCACTGGATCAATGAGATGTAAGTATGGCAATGGGACAGTTAATTATATTGTTATGCGGTTTGTGTGGGTATAATACTACTAACAAGAAAGCTATCCGATATTGAACATTTGCTGGAAAATATGCAATGCATACCAATTTAGCTTCGATCTCAAGAAATCTATTTAATTAAATTATAATATTTATCAACTAATTATTTAATTATTTCAAAAAATTTGAGATGAAAGAGAATCTCTCAAAAGAAGACCATTGTGGATAAAAACTACAACAAACAAAATATATAATTAGTATACATGCAAGGTAATTTAATTTCAAAAGTGCAATCCCTTTTATAATGAACATTAGAAAATATATTGTTCTTTAACCAACCTGCACCTTCGACAACTGCTAATATTATTATCTTAAATATTTATTTTAACCCTGGCCTTAGTTCAAAATCATAATTCAGAAAATTATTTTTAAGTATTAATATGCATGTCCATCTCAAGATGCTAAAAAAAGTAAGCACACCTATCCCTGCTCACTTCTATTCTGTCTATGGACAGCTTTAGGAGAGACAGGAGCAAGTTAGCTAAAAGGTTTTATTGAGGGTTTATATAGGTCTTGTATTTTCAAAAAATCGATTTGTTGAAGTTATACTTCTATATGCACTGTCAACTTTTCGAAATTTCCTTTTTTATTTTTAAAATATTTAAAAATCCCACGTTAATCTTATTAAATATATGTAATATACACAAAAATGCTAAATTTTAAAATAAATGAAAATTTACAACATAATCCGAGTTGTTGGTTTATTATTTTTATCTTCCACAAACATTTTTTGAAGTTATACTTCTATACGCGCGTTCGACATTGGAAATTTGTGTGTATTCATATATTGAGTGAAGCAGCAAAATAATTACATATGTAAGATATAGGTAAGAGAGAGACAGAAGATATATTTTCTCTCTCTTTCTCTCTCGAGAATAAAAATGTTCCTTTTGTAAATATATTTAATATTTATTAATATTATTATTTTTTTATTAATATTATTAACATGGTAAATTAAATATATGAGTAAGTAAGTTTTGTGTATTGTCATTTTTAAATACTTATTAATATTGCATTTTAATTTGTATTGTATTATTAAAATTAGTTCCCTTTCTTATTCACTTAGTCCTTATTTATTCTCATTAGCGTGATTCAGATAAGAGGGAAACTAAAAGGTAACAATCCCTGGTGCTTAATGTGTGCTGATGATGTGGTGTTAATAGGAAATACTAATTGAGATTTATAATGAAAACTGGAACAATTGAGACAACCTCTTGAGAAGAAAGGTAGTAGAAAAAAAACAAAGTATTTGGAATATGCATTTCAAGATGAGACTTAATACAAATAAAATCAACAACTTTTGATAGTGAAATGATTGTGAAAAGTCGTAGTTTTAAGTACATAGGATCGGTATTACAGAGTCATGAAGAAATAGATGAAAATGGATGCAGTAAAATTAGGGTGGAATGGATAAAATAGAAGGAAGCAAGTAGTGTGTTGTGTGACAGAAAGATCCCAATGAAACTGAAAGAAAAATTCTATAGATTCTATAAAAATTAACAATAAAAAGAATTTAATTAGTACTATAATAAGAACTACATATCTAAAACTTATACCTGTGGATCCATTTTCGTCATTTTTCTCTGCTCAAGAAGTCCTAACATAAGCGTCTGTAACACATACAACTGATGTGCCATTTCGTTTCCTTTAGCTGCTCCAGTTTGAAGAATACTGTTTTGAATAACAGTCCTAACTTGCTTTGATGTAAGAGTAGCTACCAAGGTTCTTCTTTTGACAATATCAGCTCTAGACAGTAGAGCATTGATTAAAGCCACAGCATTTTGTTGAACAACTGGAGTAGATTGAAGATGACTAACTAAGGAACCTATTGGTATCTCTCGCTCTACCTATTAATTTATAAAAGTTAATCGTTACTGAAAATACAATACGCTAAAAATGTCATAACAAAGATTAGAAAGATTATGCTTTGGTTCTATAAAAAAAGTTGCTGAAGAAACTGTTCTGGTGAGAAAAAAACAAGGAATTGTCCTATTTGCATGAACATCGTAAATACAGTAAGTCAATTGACTGCAATAATTATTAATTAATTAGTAATTAATCTGGTTAATAACAGAAAACTTCAAAAAAGAATATAGTGACACTTTCACAGATTTCACTATTAAACCTGGTGAAGAGACTATAAGAAAGGCCTTGGCTGATGTGACTCTAGAACAATGAGGATCTAAAGAACAGTTAGAAGCTAAAGTATTGCTCATGAGTATATTTGGATAATTATGCATTTATAGTACTACCATCTTTGTACTTCCACCAGCTCAATGGGGTGCTATTGTTCTAGATGTGAAATACATAAACAATGGATTGTTTTATAAAACAGGAAGATTTTCTGTTTATAGAGTTTCACACCTTAAACAATAGCACCCAC